GGCTACGTATGCTGTGTTTTTGGCAAATTGTAGTCGGTGAGTTTACTATTTTATACTACTTCTGTGATATTAAGATAAGATATTCCTTTATTAATCCCGCAGTGGGGAAATTTACATTGTTACAGCAGTATAAAAAGCAAAACCATAACCACTACTACTTCTACTTCCTGTTATCTTCTTCATCATCGTCTTTTTCACCAGTAGAAACAGACGGTTGTTGATCACGTGACTCCTGTGATGTGAAAAAACTGTTTCCATTGTAGTTTTGTGAAAAACACCAATTTAGATACGACTGAAAAACCACCTCATCCTAGTGCAAAAACATTTGGTCAAAAAATGTAATTTTTTTCAAAATTGACGTGTTTCCATTGAGCAAATTTACTTTCTAAATTCTAATTTGTGCATTTTCATGGTCAGTGGAAACACAGCTATTGACCCCCCCACCCCACCCCACCCCCATCCTGGCCACTCTTTAACAATTATTTCTGAATGTGCCCCTGGCCAGGCCTTTATTTAAATGTTGACATTGTAAATGGCTTGAACTTATGTAGCGCCTTATCATGTCCACATGGACCCCAAAGCATTTTACACAACACACACTGATGGTGGTAAGCTACATTGTAGCCACAGCTGCCCTGCAGCACACTGACAGAGGCGGGGCTGCCATGCACCAGCGCCACCGGACCCTCTGACCACCATCATTAGACAAGGGGGTGAAGTGTCTTGCCCAAGGACACAACGATGGAGACAGTTGGAAAGGGGGTTGAACCTGTAACCTACCGTTTCCAGGACTAAGGAGCCCGCAAGGGTACATGGGGGTATTTTTTTTCCTTTTGCGTTCCAACGCAAAAGTTTGTTTTGAATATAAACTGAGTTAAATCAGACTTTTATTTTGAAATATCAAAACAGGATGTGTCGCCACAAGTTCAAGAAATTGACATTGATGTTGGTGCGTGGCTGCACTGTTAAAATATGACATACTTCCATGCGTGGCTGTGTGATATATTCATTGTGAAGCTGAATTAAAGCAGTAGCTAACTCACTAATGGTGAACATGTGAGTTTGTTAATAAACCAGCAGCACAACAGTGATAAACGACTTTTGAGAGGGAACGTAAAACTATTGCATGGGAACGCAAAAGAAAAATAATCTGTGTGTCCCCTGGCGGGCTGCGTACAGGACGACTGCCCTAACATGACAATAAGTTGTGATAAGTTCACATGTTCTCGTATCACAACCCTCTCCACATGACTGTCATGAACATTGTGGGGAAGGCAGGTCTATCTGATGACCAACTGTTGTTTGCAATAATGCTATTACACAAACTGATAAACCAATATTGATACATTTCTTTATAGATTGTGCGTCTGATTTACAAAGATAAAACTGCTGTCATTCCGCTCTCTGTATTTATAGTTATGTAGTGACTTTATCTTGCTCTTAAAAATGCCTTAATCTTGTCAAGTCTCACTGTTCTGATCTGCTTTTGTTGCGGTACACTGTAAGCTACCTAATGTTGTTGCTGTTCCAAAAACCGCTCTGCCAATATTGCTTTGCTCTTTTATGTATTTTGCATAGGTGCTGTTTGTTTTGGATGTCAAATGTTGCTAAAGATTTATGAAATACCTTTAAAAAAAGGAAGCGTGTCTTGGAACATGGCTCCAGCTCTGAGTGTTTGGCTGACTTTTTGACAAAGTCAAAAAGAGAGAATATTTTGCTAGTATTTAACAAAAATTTATATCCATGAAAATACGTGGATTATTTTGTAAATACACATCAGACAACCAGAGATTTTCTCTAGGCAGCAGTGACTGAAATAGGGTTTTGTTAAAAAGGCAGCGAGAT